AACAGTTTATAGCAGCGGAAACAGAGCAGTAAAGAAACAGTTTATAGCAGCGGGAACAGAGCAGCGAAGAAACAGTTTATAGCAGCGGGAACAGAGCTGTGAAGAAACAGTTTATGGCAGCGGCAACAGAGCAGTGAAGAAACAGTTTATAGCAGCGGGAACAGAGCAGTGAAGAAACAGTTTATGGAAGCGGGAACAGAGCAGCGAAGAAACAGTTTATAGCAGCGGAAACAGAGCAGTGAAGAGCCAGTTTATAGCAGCGGAAACAGAGCAGTGAAGAAACAGTTTATAGCAGCGGAAACAGAGCAGTGAAGAAACAGTTTATAGCAGCGGAAACAGAGCAGTGAAGAAACAGTTTATAGCAGCGGGAACAGCAGTGAAGAAACAGTTTATAACAGCGGGGACAGAGTAGTGAAGAAACAGTTTATAGCAGCGGGAACAGCAGTGAAGAAACAGTAAATACCAGCAGGAACAGAGCAGTGAAGAAACAGTTTATACCAGCAGGAACAGAGCAGTGAAGAAACAGTCTATACCAGCAGGAACAGAGCAGTGAAGAAACAGTTTATAGCAGCAGGAACAGAGCAGTGAAGAAACAGTTTATAGCAGCAGGAACAGAGCAGTGAAGAAACAGTTTATAGCAGCGGGAACAGCAGTGAAGAAACAGTAAATACCAGCAGGAACAGAGCAGTGAAGAAACAGTTTATACCAGCAGGAACAGAGCAGTGAAGAAACAGTTTATAGCAGCAGGAACAGAGCAGTGAAGAAACAGTTTATAGCAGCAGGAACAGAGCAGTGAAGAAACAGTTTATACCAGCAGGAACAGAGCTGTGAAGAAACAGTTTAGAGCAGCAGGAACAGAGCAGTGAAGAAACAGTTTATACCAGCAGGAACAGAGCAGTGAAGAAACAGTTTATAGCAGCAGGAACAGAGCAGTGAAGAAACAGTTTATACCAGCAGGAACAGAGCAGTGAAGAAACAGTTTATACCAGCAGGAACAGAGCTGTGAAGAAACAGTTTATAGCAGCAGGAACAGAGCAGTGAAGAAACAGTTTATACCAGCAGGAACAGAGCTGTGAAGAAACAGTTTATACCAGCAGGAACAGAGCAGTGAAGAAACAGTTTATAGCAGCAGGAACAGAGCAGTGAAGAAACAGTTTATACCAGCAGGAACAGAGCAGTGAAGAAACAGTTTATACCAGCAGGAACAGAGCTGTGAAGAAACAGTTTATAGCAGCAGGAACAGAGCAGTGAAGAAACAGTTTATACCAGCAGGAACAGAGCAGTGAAGAAACAGTTTATAGCAGCGGGGACAGAGTAATGAAGAAACAGTTTATAGCAGCGGGAACAGAGCTGTGAGAAGCTGAGAACTCCGGAGAAGATTCCATCTCGTGGCTTACCCGGATAATGCGAGCTCCTTAAATCCCCACACGTTGCCCCCAAATTAGCTTTGGCGACGAACGCTCTCTGCTTCCTAAATGGGCCTACTTTACACCTGATTTAAACTCCCGCGCCTTCTTGAAATATATCTACTCGGTGGATATTACTTAGTCTCACTTTGCATATCTAACTATATTTCTTATAAAGATTGAATTAATTATGTAGTACTCCTATATAGGAAATAATAGTTCTATATATGTTTTGCCTCTATCTTGCAAATATAATCGAATTAAGAGTATTCAAAAGTTCCGTCTCCTAAGGTTTTCTTGTGTCCATTGTCTTAGTGAGATTCAGAAATATTCTTGGTTATTTGCATATTCTATAAATCAAAAACATATCGATACCTCTCAGAAAAGTTAGGCCGCACTAAAACATTCAATATAATGGTGACACCTTTTGTAAAGATGTGTTATCCACATTAAAGATGTTCACAACTAGAAAAAAAGCTAAATATCATTATCAGGACATCATCCTTGTCATTCTCATGGGGATTTGAAGATGTGAAGTACCATGATCAAATGTTGGAGGCACCAGTGACAATGAAGAGAGCCAAATTAATGACTGGAGGCACCAGTGACAATATAGAGAGCCAAATTGATGACTGGAGGCACCAGTGGCAAAGAAGAGATCCACAGTGATGGCTAGAGGCACCAGTGACAATGAAGAGATCCACAGTGATGGCTAGAGCCACCAGTGACAATGAAGAGATCCACAGTGATGGCTAGAGGCACCAGTGACAATGCCAGGAGCCTCATTGATGGCTGGAGGTACCAGTGACAATGCCAGGAGCCACATTGATGGCTAGAGGCACCAGTGACAATGCCAGGAGCCACATTGATGGCTAGAGGCACTAGTGGCAATGCTGAGAGCCACATTGATAACTGGAAACACGAGTGGGAAGACCTCTGCCAGATTTAGCCTCCAATATATTAATTGCTCCCTGAAGTTAAAACCGCTCCGTTGTATTGGATCAATGCTAATTTCCTATTGATTGCACTTTTTTAAACGCTTGACGCCCTCTTAAATTATTGTGTAAACCTGTTCACTTAGAAGTTTACATGGTCTTTATTTTCCTGTTCGTACTTCAAGATATGTTTGTACTGAAGCTTTAAGAATTCATACATCACAGCGGTCTGTTTCGTAACCATTTCACCTATTTTCAGTTTCCATTGATCATTCTTCTAAACATGGTGTTGGGAAAAATTATAAATTCATGGAAGAGAAATAAAGCTGATAATTACGAATAAACTTTATTACTTAGAGGTATTTATTTATTTATTTTTGCTTATCCCTAGTACACGTAGTACAGGCCATGATAATCATGGTGGGTAGAAATTGGCGACTGCTTTTACTGTAAGTGCACCACATGACTACAGATGTGAAAAACAGTTCGATTTTGCACTTACAAATGTGCCAGAGCCCCGTTTGGTTACTTGCACTCGCTAGTGGAGTTGGACTTTTGCAAGAATCGGGGGCCATTAAAGCATTTTTTAGAGGTATTTATGAACAATAAAGAAGGACAAGAGATAACATATGTACATCAGCAGCTCTCGCCTATCAGCGGCCTGACCTATCCAATAACCGCTAGCCAACTAACCAATCCAACAAAGCTGCAATATATAGACAATTCAACCTACAAGATGTCACATGTCACTTCCATAGCATATTCTCCAAATACAATAGACTCATTCTAGAATCTTTAATCTCCAAAGACAATAACAGCATAACTTATACGATAATAACAAGGCGAAGGAAGACGAGTATCTTTATTGGTGCATAAGAGCGAGCTTTCGGGAAAATTCCCTTCGACGGGCAAGATATAACGACACTGTGAGCGATATCGATGGCTGTAGCGAATATATACACATATTAATTTACATAAATATAGAAAAAAAAGCATGCATGCTTTTTTTTCTATATTTATGTAAATTAATATGTGTATATATTCGCTACAGCCATCGATATCGCTCACAGTGTCGTTATATCTTGCCCGTCGAAGGGATTTTTCCCGAAAGCTCGCTCTTATGCACCAATAAAGATACTCGTCTTCCTTCGCCTTGTTATTATCGTATAAGTTTACTCCAGGAAGAATTATTCTACAATAACAGCATAAACAGAAGAATTGATCTACCCCAACAGTTCCAGCATATTCAACGCAGATGATGCCAACCCCCATTGAAACTGTACCCTCTACAACTGCCACTATTTTTATTTTTGATTTTTTAAAATGTATTTCTCTAAATCTCTATTGTATCTGTTGCACGCATTTGCGGAGCCAGTGGCCTGATGAAGCGCGACCGCGCGAAAGCTTGCCTCCCGATACCTTAATAAAGAAACTCTGCAAATATTTTAAATTTTATTTACCTCTCTCTCTCAATTATAGACAGAGCTATATATTATTATTTATTTAAGTAACCCAGGTTCCTGGAGCGTACAGAAGTCGCCAACTACCCGGGATGTCCTTCTGACCTAAGTCTTCTTGGATTTATATACAATGCCAGTGGAAGTCCAATTAATGAGGTGTCGCCAGGCAGATTTCTTTCTTGGGAGATTTTCTAGGGATGCTGGACATATGTTGGTGATACCTAGGAGAGTGGCTGTCTGGAATATTTGGTATTGGAAGGTTGGGCAAGTGAAGAGGAGGTGGTCTACGGTTTGGTCTTCATCTTGGCAGTGGGGGCAAATTGGGTCTTCTTTCGATACCGTTGCAAGGTCTGCCTGAATGTAACCATGGCCGGTCAAGATATATATTAGCTATATATTAGCATAGACAATACTACAACAATATACAAATATGAAATCTCGAGATATCATTCAACCAGCACGTATCATCCACCATGCACGTATATTTTCAAAAAATTGTTATTAACACACAAAGAATGTAATATATTTTTTCTCTCCTTTTCAATATCATAAATACTTAAAATATGTAAATAATAATATATGTATATAAAAATAGTATTTTCATCAATTTATTAACGTGATAATCCTGTTGAAGGACTGACAAGTCTGAAAGCTTGAAAAGAAAAAGTTGAACAAGAAACTTAACCCTGGAAGCTTTATTTTATAATAATATACAAATTACAACAGAGTATTACATCGCTGAAATATTCTAGAATTTACACTTTTAATACATGGTATAGTTATTTACATATACTCCTTATGTATTTAATCCTTGAATAAGCTTTGATATAAAACATAGAATGATATAAAATATCGAATTATAACCTAGATCAATATTTTTTAAAGAGACAAAGGTCGCCTCTCCCATCAAAATAGACGTCAAAACTAGACGCCATCTATTAACCGTCGTCGCAACTAGCGGCCTCGGGTCGGTGACAAAGCCACAACACCAGCTTTGGCAAACTGAAAAACGTCCACCTAGAGACCATGGTTTCGGGCTAATGGCCCTCGTCAGTCTAGGGCGGACTTTATTCCATAGATCTCCACACGGGATCTAATGGAATCTTGACAATCTTTCAAAGAGGTGTTTAGCTGGCAAAGTGGCTGGGCCAAATCTATGGCTATAATATAGATGGAAATTTTGCCGGGAGGCGACCTTTGTCTCTTTAGATCAATATCCTGGGGGGTCGGTGGAAGGCTGGTTAAACCGTTTGGTTTACGACCACTACGACCCGGGTTCGATCCCCGCATTGGACACTTTTTTCTGTTAAAAAAAAAAATGCTCCAATGGCCCGCCGATTCTTGCAAAAGTCCAACCCCACCAGCGAGTGCAAGTAACCAAACGGGGCTCTGGCACATTTGTAAGTGCAAAGTCGAACTGCTTTCACATGTGTAGACATGTGGTGCGCTTACAGTAAAAAGCAGTCGCTAACTACCCACCATGATTATCATGGCCTGTACCACGTGTACTAGGGATAAGCAAAAAAAAAAAAGATCAATATCCTCCCGGCAAAATTTCCATCAACAAGATATTTTACTTATCACGAGTACATGAAGACCATTTTATTCGATGTATTATGTTAATTACACAAGTAAAAACAATATTACTAGGGATGATGAAGAATGAACCACAATACCATCAATAACATTGGCATTTACGTGTCATATTATGCATAATAAATTATACTAGAATCCATAGAATCCCATAAACAGAACAGTATCAACCGTAAAATTGACCTCCCCGACGCTTATCATGCCCTCCTGGCCTTTATATAATTTTCTCATTTATATACTTTAACTCCATATCAGTCATATTATGTACTTCACTAGTATTTCCTGCCTCCAGCTATGAATTTGCATCCCTTTGAAAATTTATCCTCTATGCTTATCATTTTACAAACCGTTAAATTACTCATTTACATGTTTCTTTGCTATAGATATGTAAATAATATGTGTATTCACTTCAGTCATTGGTTTCTACGTTCATAGTGTTGTATTTATGCTTTAGCTTGCCTGTTGAAGGGTTTTTGCCCGAAAGCATGTGTCGTTAAATGATTAAAGAAACTTGTCTTCTTTCAATTTATTAAATCGCTACATATCTTACTGAGAAGAATCTTCTATATCTAATCTTGAAAGGTTTATAGTCAAATATAATATTAGAGCGGTAGATTAAACTGGCGAAACCGCTGGGAGGGTTCACCACTGATGAGCCAAACCCTCTCAATAAATTTTTCCATCGGAGAAAATTGTTGAATTTTCTAAAACGAAAAGTCGGCGTTAAAAGAGAGTTTCAAGCTTTATTTACATATAGTCATGTTTGATATTGGAGGTTGTAAGAGAGAGAGAACGATAGGTGAAATCACTTATAAACACAAGGTAATAAAACCAAATAAATAAATAGTGTGTGATCTTTCGGTAACAACGTTGTTATTGAAACGTCACACACTATTTATTCATTTAGATTTGGTCTTATTACCTTGTGTTTATAATCTATAATCCAAATTGCGCCTTATCGGTTAAATTACTTCTGATTTCACACAACGGTCTCTCAGTGGTGACAGTCTAACTATAGGAATCCAATCAGATCCTAGATGCCCTCCACACAGTTCTGTAATGGGATACTAAGGGTAATCTGGTACGCTCCATTAGCAGCTTACGTAATCCCCGGGACTACAACACGTATATCTACGCTTCCACGTCATCATCTACCTCCACGACGTACACCCTACTACTAATGTAACACATACTAACCTTCTAGGATAGATTCTAGTGTTTAATAAAAATAATGGTTACAATTTACATCAAAATAGACGTCAAAACTAGAAGCCATCTATTGACCGTCGTTGCTAAACGAGCGGTCTCAGGTCGTTAACAAAGCCACAACACCAGCTTTGGCAAAGCTTTCGTAAAACCAAAATGTCTTAATAAAGACCTGGTGTGTGGGAAAATTCTAACAATTTGTGCTAAATAGATGAGTTTGAAAAATGAATAGAATAAAGCAAAATGTTATATATAAAAAAAAGATGAATTTCATTTTTTATACTTGTTACAAGTTTCCATGGCATGGACCATGATAATCATGGTCGGTAGTTTCTGACTGCCTTTTACTGTAAGTGCCTTGCATATTTACACACGTAGGAAGGAATTTTGCACATGTAAGATATCAGAGTCCTGTTACTTGTACTTATTTGTGAGGTTGGATTGTGCGAGAATTATCGTCTATAATAGTACACTTATGAGGACAAAACTTGAGGTAGTGAAAAGTCTTTGATGTCGCCAGTCGTCTATATATATATAGTAAGGTAGTTTGGTTATCCTGTTGGATGAATGTAGTGTGGCATATTGGTTGCAGTCGTGGTGGCCACAATGTTTAGAGTGGTTTCAGGCGTGATTGGGATTACACAAAAGGACGAGGCATGTTGGATGTCACCATAGAGATGGCGAGAGAGTAAGTGAAGCCGACACCGGTCAGGGGAGATCTTTTGAGAGAGGTCTGTCAATCATCGTGTCTCAAAGCGGACTGATCTGTTTGATAAGAAAGGGGCACACCTGGGAACCCGACATATTTTCCAGACCTTTTTCCTCTACTGGCGCCAGCTGTCACTCATTCGACATTTTATTTCTGTCACCTTGGCAATTACATTATAACTATACAACACATGGGGACATAGGTATATATTACGACATATATATATATATATTTAAGGAAGCACAGGTAATTTTGTTCACACTTAGTTATCTCGTGTGACATCTTGACATCCCAGTATATAAAATTTCACTTTTATTTTTTCTTAAGTTTTAAAAAGACATCTTCATGCTCCTCCAAATCGTCAAATTTAGCCATCGATTCAAGTCAAAAACATAAAAATATTTAAGATAAAAAAAATCACTTTTATGAGATTGAAGGTAAATATTTAAATAGGAATTGATAATTTATTAAAAATTTTGTATAAAAAAACTATTTGCTCGCTTTTTTTTTTTAAATCGGCGAGATAATCTTGTTAAGAGGTTTTATCTAAATTGTGCGCATCTTGAGAGAAAAATATTATTTGGTTAAATAAAAAAACACTTTTATTCTATATTGATATTCTTTTTGACCGGTTTAATAAAATCTTTTGGTTAACATATATATATACTAGGGAATTGAGTGTTTACCTATTTAAAAAACATGATCCAATTTTAAAGCATGATTGAAGAGTAATTCAAATATGTATTGAATTTCTTTTTTTTTTAATTCCAACTATACATGGTAGAATATATATATATTTTAAATTATCCCTAGTACACGTAGTACAGGCCATGATAATCATGGTGGGTAGTTAGGGACTGCTTTTACTGTAAGTACACAATATATCTACACACATGTGAAAAGCAGTTATACTTTTTCACTTACTAATGTGTCAGAGCCCTGTTTGGTTACTTGCACTCGCTGGTGGGTTTGAAATTTTGCAAGAATTGGAGCATTTTTTTATATCAGAAAAAAATGTCCAATGCGGGATCCGATCCCGGGTTGTAACGGTCGAAAACCAACGGTTTAGACCATCCTTCCACCGACCCCTATGTAGATGATGATAAAACGCCTGAATAAAAGGAGATTTGATATTACACATCAATCTGGTAGTCATAAAAGTTAAAGTTTGCGACCGGGGGTCGGTGGAAGGATGGTCTAAACCATTGGTTTTCGACCGCTACGACCTTGGATCGAATCCTGTATTGGGCACTTTTTTCTAATTATAAAAAAATGCTCCAATTGCCCACAATTCTTGCAAAATTCTAACCCCACCAGCGAGTGCAAGTAACCAAACAGGGCATTGGCATATTTGTAATGGAAAAGTCGAACTGCTTTTCACATGTGTAGACATGTGGTTCACTTACAGTAAAAGTAGTCGCTAACTACCCACCATGATTATCATAGTCTGTACCACGTATACTAGGGATAATAAAAAAAGTTTGCGACTGCTTTTACAGTAGGTGTATATACTGCATGTGTCTACATATATAGAGAACTATTTGGATTTGTACTACAAGAGAGAGATGGAGAGAGATATGTATGATCGTTGTTTGGTAACTTGCAGTCACTGGTGAAATTTCATTGTGAAAGTTGAAAGGTCTTTTGAAGAAATGTATATTAATTTATAAAAAATTTAAATCGGAAATTTTAATTTCGCAACAATAGGGAGGAGGGAAGGGGGATCTTCATTGGTACTCCCAGTTATATCTATTGCTCAGGATAAACTTTACTATTAACTGTTTGGCCTTTAGGAAGATAATCTTCTAAGATGCATTCTTTACTGTCACAAAAATAGTCAAGAGTACTTTTCCATCAGAATCTGTTATCCTTGGTTTCTTTGGTGTTGTTGAGTCAGGAATATGATGGTGTATCCATGATTCATCTCCAGTCACTATTCTATCAAGAAAACCTTCACCCTCAATTTAATAATGTTCCAAAAACTCTTTACTATTTCCTTGAAATAAATTTTGATTTTTCTTTCAAAAGAAATACATGCGGGAGAATTTTCAAATGTCGTTTTACTATCACAAACCGCATTATATTGTATTATAAATTACTTTATGTATTATTTACGAACGGAAGAATATGTCCAGGGTAGCCTAGTGGACATGGCATCTGCCCGGTAAGCGGAACACTGTGGGTTCGATTCCCATCCCTGGACACTTTTATTTTTCCGTTTATCATTACTCTTCACTATTCATCCTTTCATACCTCATCCATAAGGTTAGAAATAATCGTTATTTCTCCTTGAAATAAATTTGGTTTTTCGTTCAAAAGAAACACATGCGGGAGAATTTTCAAATGTCGTTTTACATTTTCCCTTTATTTCTTTTGTGAGCAGCCGAGGCACCCATCTTGTGCAAATATTTCTGTACTTTAAATGTTACGCTACCATAACTAAGGTTAAGTTCGACAGAAATAACTCTAATGCTAATGTGACGATCGTTCTGTATCATCTCGTCAATGGCCCAGGTATCATCACTAACCTTGACCGGGGCGCCAGGTCGCGGTGTGTCATCCAAACTTTCTATACCGCTTGAGAATGTTCTAACCCATTCAAAAATTCGATTTTGAGATAAACATTTATCACCGTGAACAGCTTTCATTCTGGAGTAAATTTCAAATGGTTTAACTCCTTCATGATAAATAAAACGCATTACTGCTCGCATTTCATACTTGGTGCAACTGTTTGTTTTGGTCGCCATTTTTATTGGAAAAAAAAAGTTGCCAGATGGTTTCTTTTCTT